AATGAAGTGTTAGCCCTTGATGCTCCATTACCTAAGAAAAGGAGAACTTACACTCCTTTAGGGATGACTTATGATGCGGCCTTTGATCGCCTTTATGGTTAAGGATTGATCACACCTATTGGGCCATTTCCAGAGCCAAAACCTGAAGAAAGGAGCGCAAAGTGGAATCCCAATGCCCATTGCAAGTTCCATCAAGGAAGGGGCCACACTACCGAGCAATGTTGGAATTTGAAGGACGCTATTCAAGATCTTGTTGATGCCAACAAACTTCCAGTCCCTCCAGGCGGCAAGAAATGATAAGTAGCAATAAAGACAGGCGCGTGGCGAGCCCTTCGTGCAGGATTTCATGATTTTTTTTATTCTTTTTTCATTTCCTTTTTCCCCTTTCAAGTTTAGCATAGATTTCTTTGTGTTTTGTTCACCTTTATTCCATTAATAAAATGAGAATATTTCCTTTAAATCTCGATCATAGCAATTTTCATTCCCTCATGCAAAAAAAAAAAAAAAAAAAAAAAAAAATCGCCGAACTAAACACAAGGTACACCAATGATTTGAGGCATCTTTAAAATCCATTATTCCCCTTAACCATTCAATCACATTCCATTTCTTCATCAACCACTTTGAGCCTCGTCTAAGTTTGGCCTCATTTATTCAACCCACATTCACCTAACCCTGGGATGGGAAGGTGTGCAATTTGTGTAACATTCAAAAAGCAAGTTCAAATAAAAAAGAATAAGTAATAATAAAACAATGTCTAAAGGCAAGTGTTCCAATGTCTTTGATACGAACACGTCTCGAATTGCGTCTCTCATCGAGTGCTAGGTACCGTGCCTAAGAAACATGAATTCTAAGTGAGTGATGGACCGCATGATCCGGGATTGCCTACATTGATTCAGAAGAATTAAAAAAAAAGGAAAAAATTAAAGCAAAAAAACGTGAAAAATAAAACTTGCGAATTCAAAATTTTCAAATACACAATTGCATATCTTTGGGGGGCTTCTCTCGGGTCTTGAGCCTTTTATCCTTTTCAAACCAGTAGCTTAACCACGTTACAACCCTCGAAAGACCTCTTTGAGGCGTACATACACTTGTGCAAAGTTCGGTTAGAGCTACGTTCGGCCTGATTCCTAACGGATACGTAGGCAACCTCACATTGAGGTGCGGCCACATTCATATTCATATCCATGCATGATCAAGTCATATCCCATGCTTATCCCTACCCATTTAGAGCTAGACTTGGGGGCTTGAACCCACATCAGTTAGCTTACCCAGCCTAAAGAGTCACCATCTCGACTCTTCTCACATTTATTTCCATCGCTTTAACCTTTGCAGCCTCACCTTAGTATCACTTTCACACACATCACTCACACATACATGGCCATATCGTCATCCTTCCCTTTAGGAACCCCTTATCATGAAATCTTGTTTCAAGAAAACTTCATTAAAACATTGTATACTTGCTTAGCTTCCTGACCTGAGCAATATTCCTTGTTTTACGCATCGCATGCTGTGCTTAGCTTCCTAACCTAAGCGAAATTTATCAAAAATATGTAATAATACAAATCATATCGTGCTTAGCTCCTTGACCTAAGCAACATTCATTATGCAATACTCATCGATCACTTCATCTATATACATGCTTAGCTTCCAGACCTAAGCAACGTTCAAGATCATTTCTTTACACCATATATGATGCTTAGCTCCATGACCTAAGTTCATTTATCTATCGTGTCACATGATGTAATTTTCCTTAGCCTCCTGGCCTAAGAACATGTAACATGCATACATTATCTTCAAGAAAAGCAATTCGATCCATGCGATTCATTTCGTCTTGCTCAACGGGGAAGTTCAAAACTTCTTCCCTTTTTCATGTCTTTTTCTTTTGGGGAAGTTCAAAATCTTTTTCAAAATTTTCATCAAAGAAAGTTAAAAAAAAAACTTCATTTTTCACGTCTTTCTCGGGAGAAAGTCGGTACCCTCCACTCATGACAAAAATGACGGAATTTTTTTGCTTTTTGCATTGTCGTTTGCTTGTGTCTGCACACACACTCAAATCACACTCAATACACACATAACCACAATTCATACACATGTCATGTCATGTCAAGTCAAGCTTGGTCAAATTAGTTGGTCAAGTCAGTCACAGTATATACGAGTCCTTTGGCAAATTTCATTTTGCAGGTCTCAATTACAGCCAACGTTCGGGGACAAGCGAACCATCAACAACCCACGTTCGGGGACAAGCGAACCATTTACAGCCCACGTTCGGGGACAAGCGAACCATTTACAGCCCACGTTCGGGGACAAGCGAACCATTTACAGCCCACGTTCGGGGACAAGCAAATCATCAACAGCCCACGTTCGGGGACAAGCGAACCATTTACAGCCCACGTTCGGGGACAAGCAAATCATCAACAGCCCACGTTCGGGGACAAGCAAACTATCATCATTTTAGTGATCATCTCCCAGGCGAAGACGATTCACAACGCAAGTTCTCGATACACAGAGACTTGCAATCTCATCATCAGACAAGTTTTTCCTCAAGCATGGAAAATTTTCGGTCGTTTCCACCTCTCAAGGCGAAGAAGTCAGCGATTATATCATCTATCGGCTTTCCTCAAGCATGGAAAGTAACACAACAATTTTCATCCGGTGGATTTTTTCAAGCATAGAAAACTACCAAAATCATTTGTCACCGATACAATGGTGTCAGATACCATCGAGCATATTCTTCACCGATACACTGGTGTCAGATACGCATTCTATCCCTTTACTCTTTTATCTGTGGAACTAACATTTTTCTGCAGGTATCGGCGTATACAGAGTGATTTAGGATCGCCAAACGTCTTAAATCATTTTCCGTCCCTATCGACTACTTTGACTATCGTTTTCGAAACTGACGTTTCTACAAACCCGATGATGATCAACCTTTCACCGCCATTATTGGTCGAGTTGAGTATTTAATCCTCGGAGTGCTTAAATCCATGTTCAATCCAATACATTTCATAAACCAACCCAATTCTTAGCCCATTTCCCCAAACCATTACTTATTTTTCTCTTTTCGTGTCCACATCACAAAACCGAGCTAATCTGATTTTGTGACTATATAATTTTGATCCAAATATTATTTGTTTGGATAGGCCTTTAAATAAGCTTTCCAACGGTATATCATAAGCTCAATTCCGATTTAAAATGAAGAAGATATGAGCCAAACACTAAACTCGGCCCAAAACCGACACCCTTCTACTAAAACGGCCATATCTTAAATTATACAAAATATTTTGACTTGATTATAATTGGGTTGGAAAGTAGACTTGATAAGATTTCCAACGATATATTACATGTCTTATTACGAGTTACAGATCAAAAGTTATCATAGTTTTAAAAGCGCGTAAAAACCTGGAATTGCCACGCAACAGCAAAATTGCCGCGTCGCGGCAGTATCTGACGTGGCACGGCAGCTAGTACTGTGTCACGGCAATCTGAATCGTGTCGCGGTACACATACCGTGACACGGTGATTTTTCGGCGTCATTTCCGCATTTTTCTCACGCGCTTTTTTACCGTGCCACAGTGGAATTCGCCGCGTCGTGGCATACTTTGCCGTGTCACGGTACACATGCCGTGACACGGGATTTCCCCTTGTTTTCTCCGCGTCCCTAATTTCACGCGCTTTACCCAGTTGAATCATTTTAGGGCAAATGGTGTACCGCGTCACGGTACTTTATACCGTGTCACGGCACTTAATGTCGTGTCGCGGCAACCACTACCGTGTCACGGCGCCACAGAATTAGGGTTTTATCTTTTTAGGGTTCTGTGTGTTCCCTCTACTCATTTCCTCTATAAATACCCCCTTCCTTTCTGCAGTTCGGGACACCAAAAATCATTCTCTCTCTCCCTACACCAAAAATCATTCTTTTTCTCCCTCTTTAACCTAATTTCTAGCCTCCTTATTCTTCCATAATATTTCCCCTAAGCACTCTAAGGATCATGATTAGGGTTATTATTATTCGATTTGACTAACGTTATTATGGTTAAATTGCTTCCAATGTTAATGTATTCTATTATTTTTTATGATCACCGTATTGCATGTTTAAAGGGAATATGTAATTGAAAGTCACGCCTAATAAGATAATTTGGGCAACCGGTTTAGGTTCCTTTTTAATCTTGTTGTTTAATTAAGTGATCACAATATTTTAGAATTATATATATGCATTAATATTCAACCAATTTAGCATAATAATAGTTTGGAGCGAACTGAGTATTTTGTTTGCATGCCTTTGAGATCGCAGGAATTACTTTTCACTATAAGAATCGAGTAGAGGCCAATACGGGCGAATGTGACTCCATGACTCACTTCATACCATCATCCCCGATCCTTCTTTCGTGGTTCCGAACCATATGGAGTTAGTAATCTCATGGATTATGAATGGGGTGTAACCTTCACGGGTCAACCGTTGTTGCCTTTCGTTGTCCCTTATTCGTGGTTGCCTTAAATGATCCGTGAACGGTTTATAAGTTCCTTAAAAACTTGTTGACGGCTCCCTACTTTCCTTGTCCCTAATCGTTGTCCCTATCGTATATGTCAATTCCCACTTCCTAAGAGTGCCAAGCATATTCACAACATGCTTTTACGTAGGCGCACTTCAAACGACGCCTACACATAGTGTTTCTTCTAATCCCTACAAACAAATTTACACATAGTGTTACTTGATGGATGTGTGCATAAATTGAAAAGTGACAAAGTTAATGAAAGTGGCATGTTATACCTTCAAGTAAGGTCAACACTGGCCTACATCTGTCCAGTCCCAAAGTCGCATTAAAACTTTCAACAAAATTTGTTTTGTTGACATCACACTTTAGCTCAGTGTTGAACTTGTGTTTAGTCCACCTGGACTGATTTCCTAAGTTTGATAGCCATATTCTCCCAGCTAGATTAACTTTGTCAAGTTGTTCCATGGCTTTCTTGAAGGTAAATGGTGAGAATGCACCACATGATTTCTAGAAAAGAGAAAACAACAATGGCCTTGGGAATTCTTTCTTCCAGTTTGCCACAAGGTGCTTACAACAGTACCTTCTGTCAACTTCATTCCATAACTCAGTTAATGCCAAATCAATCCCCTGCATAATCAGATACCACAATGGTCAGTACATGAATGCATTGTACCAAAAGCTGAAAGAAAATAATGAATAATGGGGCTGACCTTCTGTATATCCGAGATTATGCACCAGTTGTCCTCTCTTCCAAGATCCTTCAACATGTTCTTCAGATGCCACACAAAAAAGCACCAAGTGTTTGTATCTTCCCCAGATTCAATGGTCCATGCAAAAGGGTACAACTCATTGTTGGCATCTAAAGCCACTGCAAACAACAACACACCCCCATAATTTCCCTTAAGGTGTGCACCATCTACCCCTATCAAGCTTCTACAGGCCTTCAATCCCTCAAGAACTCCTTTGAAACTTATGAAAATTAAATGCTCTTGAAAACCAATGGTTTTTCAGGCTCCTGTAACTCAACCCAAGCACAAAATGCAGATGACCCAGGATTGGTTGACTTGATCATCTCACAGTACTTAGGTAAAAAAGCATAAGACTCATCATGAGAGCTATGAATTTCAGCCAATGCCTTATGCTTAACCCTGTACAGTGTGCTTATAGCCATCTGAACACCAAATCTTTAAAATAAGATGGCATTTAGAGATTTGGCAGAAATATCATTATTAGGCCTGATGTCTTCAATCAAGACTCTTGATGCCCATGAAGCACTAACCATAGGGTTATTCACATCCAACCCACTGCAAGTATGCTCGGGATTTCTTATGGACTTAATAGCCCATGTAACCCCATCAGGTAGCTTGGATGCATGCAACCTCCATTCACATCCTTCAGCAGAGCAAAGTACAGTATACCTCAAGTTTGTTGCCTTATCAACTACCACAGAAAAACCACATTGGATGCAATAATCCCTCACCACATCCCTCAAATGTTGTTATCAGTAAACAATTGCCAAGGCTTAAGAATGATTTTCCCAAATTCCTCATCTTTGTATAACTCTCCATTTCTGTACAACCTCATGAAGTAATTATCATCATCATCACCATCATCAAACACCTCAGCCTCAAATGGATCAAAATTATCATGAATAATAGCCCCACTAACTTCCTCTTCTTGGTCTTCTTCATCAAGGCTCTCATCCTCATTGTCCTCATTCTCATCACCCCCAGTAGGTTCATAATTGTCTTCCTCATCATCATCATCATCACTCCCTAAATTCTGATCATCATCACCTAAATTAACAGTGAGTGCATTTGTCCTTCTACTCTTAACCCCTTGACTCAAACTATTGCTTCCCTCACTAACAGAAAGTTGCAGACCTTTCCTCCTAGCAGTTGTCAAAGGCACCTTCCTTTTAATTATAGGGAAAACCTTAGAAGACCTAGATGAACCAGCTATGTCAGATGTCTTTCCATGGTCAGAAATTTGTGGGGTTGGGTTGACTGGAGTTGGAATTTGTGGGGTTGGGTTGACTGGAGTTGGAATTTGTGGGGTGGGATTGACTGGGGTTTGAATGGCTTGAATTTCTGGGGTAGGTTTCTTTTGTGATTGTTTCCTGGGACTCCTCTTTAGGACCACTATTGGTTCAACAAAATGCTGGGATTGGTCATTTTGGGGTGGTTCAGTTACAATGTCTAGTCTAGGGTTTGAAATAACCAACTACTGCTCAAAGGTGTAACCAGTTTGCTTACCTCTCCCTTTGCCTCCCCTCCTCTCCCTCCCATCCCTTTTCCTGAACCTCCTCTCCCTCTACCTCATTTCCCTCTGCCTCTCCCTTTCCCTCTTTCAGCTTGATTATGTTGCACATCATCTGCAACCTGTCTACTTGGAGAGTTCACCATATGATGACTTTCATTACCTATCTCCATTCTCTCATCTACCTCTTGAACCCTTCTCCTAGGAACCAATTTTTTAGGTCCATCATCATCATTAGCTAGTGCATCAAGGATATAAGTTGTAGGTGGTTCAACATTGACTGGTGTGACTTGTTTTTTAATGGGTTCAGGTTCATTTAAAGCCTTAAGTGCTTCGAATTCCTCCTTCCACTGCTCCTTAAGTTGTTTATTTATCCTCCCAACCATCAACTCATAAGCAGCCTGTACTACATCTGTTTTACCCTCACCCTCCTCAACCCAAATATAAATCACATACTTACCAACCAGCCTTTCAAACATCTCCATTGACTGACCATTTGACCTAAGTTCATACATCCTCATCTTATAGCAATATTCAAACCTAGGATTTCTAGGTGTGGGGATGTCATTTTGCCTAGCTAATTCCCAATAGTCAATTATTAAGTCAATCAAGTTAACCTTATCAACATCATCTACTACAACATCAATATCACTACGATTATATTGAAATTTAAGCACCACTGGGTAATCCATTCTACATTATTATAAGACAAAGAAAATGCATAATTTCAGAACAAAAACATAAAGGTAAATGCATATACACAATCATCTGAAACCTTCCCTTTCATATGTGCATAGTAAGCCCGTACCCACATCAAGCTATTTCAGAACAATCAACACAAGCCTTAACCCCTTACCCACATCAAGCAATTATGTGAAATTCAACAGCAAAACCTAACTTTGAGGCCTAGCACATATACGCAAATTTGCAGAATTCACCCAATTAACAAAAATAAACCACACAATTAACAAAAATAAACCGTTAATTTGCATAATTATCGAAAATAAACCACATAATTAACAAAAATAAACCGTTAATTTGCAGAAGTCACTAACAAAAACCTAACTTTCACCCAAATTACTCACTTACACGCAATCACACAATTACAGAGCATCGACATCTACAAATTCTTCTTAAACCACATACCTGGAATGCAGTTAGCCTTAAACTAATCTTCCGTTCGCAATTGATGATTCCTTCGTGCTATCTACTGTAATTGTGAATTTCTCGAGCAAATTTATACCCAGCAATGTTCGAATGAGATGAAGAAATGAGAAGGGTTTGGTGTTCTAAAAAAAAGAGAAGGGTTTGGTGTTTTTATGACTGACTGGTTACAAGTGGGTGGGGGTTAGTGAGAGATCATAAATGCCTGGGTAAGTATTTGACACCAGTTAAAATTAACGTTCTAATTAACGTTTTATAGTAAATATGGCTACGGAAGTAAACTTTTAAAAGTTTGAGGCTACCAAAGATAATTCATATAAAAAGTGGCTACCAATGGAAATAAGCAAAAGTACGAGGCTACCAATGAGAATTTCTCTTTTTTTTTTCAACTTACTGTACATTGTTATCATAATCTTGATATACTCCGTACTTTACCGTGCATGAAGTTTTTTTGACAATCAAAATCTATGTAATAATTTAACAATTTTTTTCCCTAACTTCTCATTATGAGTCATCACATTACTCAGAATCTCCAATCCTTAAATTTTATGCATTTTTGTTTTTTTGTGTGGCAATAACCACCAAATAACTACTACTTCCACTATTTACAATAAAAAAAAAACTTTCTAACTTCCACATCTACTATTTTTTTTCCTTTCTTTCTAAATATTACATACTACGTACATATACACTCTAATGGCAAGAATGAGACAATCTTTAAAAGACACAAGAAAGTACAGAAAAAAACTACAATAAAAATTAGTGATCCTAGTTTTAAATTAGTGACCCTAATTTTAAATTAGTGAAATTTATTAAAGCTTATATGACCTTTTTAATCGACGTTATGTTGAACATAGTAATCCTAATGTTAATAGAATAACCTTTATTATTTATATTAACCAATATATTAAAACTTTTATTAAAAAAAAAAAATTAACCTCTTATGACCTTAAATTTATAATAAAACTCCATAAAAAAAAAAAAAACCATTTTATGATTAGCACAAAAAATTATTTGTACATAATAACTTCTATTTTAACTAATTGTCAAAAATAATATAACCTTTTCATTATACACGAATATAACTACCTTTGGGGTCTCAATTTTTAACAAGATTAAAAACTTGTAACCTGTTAATTCGGTTGCCCATGACACGTGGATTGATGTAATTGGTCTAACTATTAATTTTTTTAAAATTAAATAATTTTAGATTTATAATTTTTGATAAAATTGTTTAACATTTAATTAACTTCTAATCAAGTCATTAATTGTGATTTTTTTAACAAATAAAAAAAATTTAAACAAAACCTACCCACCCCGTCCCCCACCACGCAACCACCTCCTCTCCCCCTCCCCCACACACAACCCTCCCTGGCAACGGTACGGATGGCGCCCAACTCCCCCACCATCGGCTGACCCACTCTCTCTCTTCTTCCCTTCCCCTGACCTCCCCCTTCCCTCGTGGCGTGACAGGGGGAAGGGGGAAAGGGAGAGAGTGGGTTGGTCGGCGTTGGGGAAGTTAGGCGCCGACCGTACCGTCGGGGAGGGCTGCGTGTAGAGGAGGGGGTGATGAGGTGCGCGGTGGGGGAGAGGGGTGGCTGGGTTTTTTTTATTTTTTTATTATCATTTTTAATAATAATAATAATAAATTAATAATAATAATGATAATTAATTAATTAAATTGACAAAACAAATAAAACAATTACTCTTGTCACGCTAACCTGTAAAAACAGGTTACCAACCGATTATGTCTTGTTTTAAATTAACACCCCAAAGGTTATAATCTAATACACATATATAAAAGGAAGTTTTTTCCCGAGTGTTTAGAGAGCCATATAGGATTAAATAATGTACTACGTACAACGAATAAAATAACAAATTGTATCACATAAATACAAAAAATAGTTGTTTTAAAAAATACACATAAACCGTACCGAGCTTCATCTAGTATTTACATTTTTTTTTTTTTTGAAAAATAGTATTTACAAAATTAGGAATAATCAAAAGGTTGTATAATTATTGATAATTTTTTCTGTAATTAATGTGAACCCAGGTTTAAAAATTCTGTAAACAATATATCCAGCTAGAACCCTAACATATACCTCAATTAGTCAATTTTCCCTCCAAAAATGGCTAAAATTTGATGATGCAAATAACAATCCTATAAACCCTAACATTTCCTGATGAATCGAAGCTTCTGCGATTGAAGAAGAACATTCCAGGTAATTGAACCCTAATTTTCAACCGCTTGTTCCAGATTTCGCAACTTTTTAATTTTTTCTTCCCTAATTATTTTCCAAATTGCAAAATTTAATCAATTTTATTTACACAGCAGAAGGAAATTATATCAATTTTGATTGTTATTTGATCGTCAAACCAAAAATTGGTAGAATGGCTGAAGAAACAGAGTTGTCTAATTCAATTGTGTTAGTGAGATCATGGAGGACTGCTTTTTTGACTTTAAGGGATGAAACTCAAACTCAATCTCAAATTCAATCTACTGACACTTTGATTAGTGTTATTCCCGTGCTCGACGAACTCGTATTCGCTCACTTTAACTCATTTGTTGCTGCTTCTCCTTTGCTTCCACCTCACGAGGTATTGCATTGTTGTATTGTGGCTTATCCGTTCTTTTATTTTCGTGTTCGATGTTGATCAGGATTGTTTTGTTTTAGGTTACGTCGGATTTGATGTATCTTTTGAATGTGGCGGCTTCAAGCAATTGCACGAATGAAGGCACGGGTCGTGCTTTGTATCTTATTTGTCATCTGGTAATGTCATTGTAACTTTTTGTGTATGGGTTAATTTTCATTGCCAAGTTATGTCGTGGAGTATTATCGCTTTTGAAAATAGATGGATGCTTAATTGTGAAAAGAGGGTTCTATCTATGAGGCTATGGCTCAGATTAAGGAAGGTTTTTTTGCACAAGGAAATTGTGATTTACATTCCGGTTTCTAATTTTGAAAAATAAATTTAATCAGCTATAGCTGGAATTGTTGCTAGATTTCATGTAATCGTTAGATTATGCTGTGGTTATATTACTATGATTTAGTGGCCAACTAGCCAGTCTCTTATGTGCGAGAGATATTCCAAAGTCGCGACTAGGGCTCCAATTCTCAATGGATTAAACATTATAGGACCTTATGCTATTATGTTATAGGTCAATGGAAACTTAAGTTGCTTCCAAGAAGTACATCTGAGGTTAGATGTGCTTATGAATATGCATTTGTATTGTCAATAACCAATAAAAATGAATCAAAAAAGGATGGCAAGAGGAAAATGACCAACTCATAATGTTTACTGTATGTGCTCTCACTGATAGAAAATAATTGAAAGAGGGTGGCAATAGGAAGATGATCTACTTAAAGTATTTGCCATATTTGTTCTGGAAATAGTTATTTTAATAACATATTATTATTTAGAATTAAACTTTGACTTTCATACTAGATTGAAAGAGGTAGTTTTTTGCAGCTTTGGTCTTCCAATCTACGGATCCATGTGTAATACAATGAGAATAAATAAAGTTCTTTTTTTTCTAATTTTTTTATTTTAATGTTCAAACCTTATGGCTGATATTGTTCTGCTAATATAATAATATAACGTCTGTTTGGTAAAGATAAATTGAAAGGAACATGGCCTACTTGGCAAAGTTATAGTGGATTACCCTGCTACTTTGTATAATACATTAAAGTGAACTTCAAGGCTTTAGTTTAAGGAATATGGGCTTATTGACAAAGCGATCCTGAATGTTATCTGGTTCATGAGCTCGTGTTTGCTGACCTGAATTCTTGACCTCTGTTCAGCCATATGTTTTTCTGGTTTTATTGCTATAGACTAGTACCTAAAATTATAATACGAATTAACTGATCAACAGTGAGGGTGTCCATTAAGATTTTCTAGAAAAGCATGAGTGAGAGAAGAAAAGAAAGCAAGAGACTCCATACTATGTTTCATTTTATTATGTTGTCACATTGATGGAGAAAATTCTTGTTATTTAACACATTTTTAAACTTATTGGTTTCTGCATCTTATCTAATTATGCTTATCCTGACTTCATTTATATTGTATATGTCGCAGATTTACAATATTGCTCTTCGCGTTCCACTTGCATTGAGTTCATCTGCTTGGTCTGAGATGCTTGGGTCTTTCAGCAAGATAGCAAAGTATTTTATTGAAAATGCTGTCAGAGTAGGATCTGTCTCTGACAACTCTACTGGGATAAAAGCTACGAAGGATTGTCTGGAAACAATAAGGTTTGTTTAGTGCTCCATATGTATATTTATTGTGCTTTTCTGGCTGTGTAATATAGCTACCAAGAAGCATTAAGCATATTATCCTGAGGTGTCTGAAAACAGCTTTTGATTTGGCCTCTAACTCTAGCTACTGGACAGTGTTTAGTGGGTTCAAGCTTGTTGATTAGTGGGTTGTAGAAATGATGTGGTTTGTCAAGTTGTTTGCCTGTTTGTCTCTGTTACTTGGGACCAACTCATATCAACTGCCAATCAATAGGAGGTATTTTAGGCACTTGGGCTATAGCCATGTATATAACTAAGCATTCTGTCTATTTCCCTGTTAGTCTTTGATCACTGGTTTAAATGCAATAGGAAGTCCATTTATTAAACATGTTTGTTTGCTTATTGTAATGATATCTGTTGCAAATGTTGTATTTGAGGTCTCTTCGAGATCCTGTTTAGGTAGTAAGGAGTTGTTCAATCCTATATTAGATTGATAGGTCCCTGAGCCTTATTGCTTTTGTTGATATAGTGCTATTAGCAAGAATTTTTGGGGAAGGTACTAGAGTGTTTTTCCAGTATGAACCCAACAAGTTAGGTTTATATGAGATTGTTACTATATTCAAGGTATGAACTCTAAGTTTGTTAAGCTTGTTTGAAAGTTCTCTTTATCAAATTTTAGCAAAAGTCCTAATGGATTGTTTATGGTGCTTCTGAGTATGATTTTGGTAGAATCTTGTGCTTCTCTTGAGGGTATACATATTTATGCCTCGTTATTATAAAATAAGGTATTTGATAATGCTAAAGTATGAATTGAAGGATTATTCTATTCAAGCTGAATTTAGAGAAGGCTTATGGCTGATTGTTTTGGAGTTAGGGCTATGAGATTTGGGAGAGGAGGTGGATCATGGGATGTGTTTAATAGTACGTTTGAATTGGTAAATTTAATGGATGATGTGTTAGATAATTTAAGGTCTTCATAGGATTGTGGCAATGGGATCCTTTAGTATCGTTTTCTTTCCTATAATACCGGATGTGTTAGGTCATAGGATCATGTAGGGACTGGCATGATGTTGTTGAGGGTTTTAAAGTGGTGGTTATCTTTCAGCCGTTGCTTGCTTATGATTCCAACTTATTCTTATTTGATGACTTGGATAGATAAAAGTTTTTTTTACACATCTTTTTTTGGACAACAATGTGTTTGGACACTTATGCTCGGATTAGAGTTTCTATGGTAGGGTTCTAGTGTGGGGGATTTTCTTTGTGATGGTGGTGATGTTTTATCTAGGATGTAGGTGGGGATGGTGATGGTGGTTTGGGTGGCGATTTAATTAAGAGGAGGAGGCGGGTGCAGTTTAATGGACTGGTGACGTTGTGAATAGCTGAGTTGAACCATTTGAGATGTAAATGAAAATTAAGCCCCGAATTACTAGATTGAATAATGGATTCTACTTCATATCTGTATAACAAAATAAGTAGCTAAGTATTGTTCATTGTTTTTTCCTCTCTAAGTTATTTCTGAATACTTAAACCTTATATTTTGTAGTCCTATGTACATTTTGATACAGTTCTATCTATGTCATGTAATAATATATCACAAGAACAGTCTAAATGCTGCTTTGTCTAGTTAGAGCATAGTAAAATTTGATGTTACAAAATATATAGATATTAATAGATGGAAGGATTTTGTAGCCTGATCGCCTGGATTATAGTACTTCCTCCCTTTATTTATTTATTTATTGAATTTCCTTCAATGAGTAACTGCTAAAAGCCCCCGCTGCCTTTGCCTACAAAGAAGCTAAAAGGTATTCTGTAAGTAAATAGTTAAAGCAAATTTCTGAGACACATTCTGCTCTAACTACAGACACTGCAAATTTGCCATGAAAGTATTACACGACTATATTGTCATCTTCTTTGCCCTTCCAAAGCCCACAAATCGAACTTGCAGCAGATCCAAAACAGTATTAGGGAAACCCTGGCACTCACCATACAAGTCAAATAGCCTCCTCCAAATATTACTTGCCATCTCACATTCTTACAACAAAGAAATGTAAGAAAGACTCGCTATTGGAACAATGTAACATGAAAATACCCTGCAAATTATCCATCTTTGGTCATTTCTTTTGAAGTATTGATTCTACCCTACACCAAAGTCCACTCAAAAGCTCACCTTAAGAGGAAATTTAGCCTACTATATGAAATTCAGTCTTAAAGTCACTTGTCATTTCTCTGCTCGACATGGAGAGCTAATATAGTTCTTCTGTTTTCAATTCTGTTGCATAAATAACTTCAGGCATCTGATCAGCATGGATCCTCGAAGGTCTTCAACATCAGAAAACATTCAGTTGGTGGAATTCCTCCTTCATATTGTTGTATGCTGTCATTCCGAGTTGAACGGCTCATATCAATCCAATGGTAATATGAGTTGTCGTGGTGACTCTGGGAAAGTTCAACATGCCAGCTTGTGGAAAGTTCAAACGACTGCCTTTTGTATGGTCAGTGAATCATTTACAAGAGTTGGATCTTCTTTTCCTGTAGGCACTTGGCAGTCTGTTGTTGAGGTGTGTACTATTTGATTTTTTTAAGTTCTTGATGCATGTCTTAGTGGACAACTTAGATTGTCTATTTTCTGAATTAGGTGCTGAGGAAAGTAATGGATTCACTTGCGGCCAAGATGCTTATTGCAGAGGATGGTGTCCTGTCAAGGTACTCCTTTTTTTTTTTTTTTTTTTTTTTGATATTTACTTTTGATGTTTAGAAACTCCATTCATTTAGTAGTGTTTGTTTTAGTTGAATTTTTGCAAAGATTAAGGTGAGTGAAAGTGAATCAATTGGAGCATGTTTTAGTGAATAGTTGGATTAAATGCGTATAAAGAAAGTGAATTATGAGGCACTCCATTTCTAACATATCAACAATAAAGGAGCATATGCTTTGGGTTTCTTTAATTTGTTCTTGACTATTAGATGTGTGTTTTGCACAATTTCACATGCAAGCTTCAATGCTTTGGGTTTGAGGTGGTATAATTTAATGGAAAAGACCAAAAACCTCACTGCAGTAATGAGATTTGCACTCTATTGAAAAGGAAAGGCTGTCTCATTGAAAGTTTCATGTCTTGTCTTTCCTGCTATGTTTTGTTTCTGTGCAAAGGAGTTTGGAGCTTTTGATATACTCTGTTAACAATTAACTTAATAGCTGCTGAGGGAGTGAGGGATGCCTTTTTTTTTATATATATAAATTTTTCTATTTTTATTTTTCAAATGCTTGTATTAACTTATGTTTTGAGAGTCTTGATGTGCCTTTAACCATTTGTTTTTTCTGCTGAGTTTCTAGGCTGATAAATAGATCTTTTTTTTCTTCATTTTACAACGTTCGCATTTATTTTGAAAGTCTTTGATGAAGAGCTAACAAGCTTAAAGTCTAGAAGTACACTGTAAACTCATTTGAGAGAAAGGACCTTTTCATAAACATTTTAGAAGATTTTTATCTTTGAGTGTCTGTCAATTGATGGTGACAAACACAGCTTGGAGGAGCAAAACTGCAAAGTTCTAGCCTGAGGGGATTTATGTTCGCTAAGGAGGCAGTTCCAACCTTGCCTCCAGCCTTGGGGACTCACATAGTCCTATAAAAGTAGATATGTGCTTCGTCTCATAGCTGCTAGTGAGTTTATTGGAGCTTTTGTTGCTTTGGGTGATTTGGTCTTCTAATAATTTTAGAAATAATTTTTTTCTGTATGCAGAGAATTTTCTGTCTACTAGTAAGCACCCTGTATTAAATTTTCTAAGTTAATTTTCTGAAAAAATGACCAGTGGTTACCCTTGCTTCCTTGGTCCTCATTTTTTGACGTTATATTTTTTTTAATGTGTTGGTTAGAAGTCCTAACCTTTTTTTTTTATTTATGTTTTGCAGGTTTTACACCTCAGTTCTGCAATGTCTTCACCTTGTACTTGTAAATCGGAAGGGTTCTCTTTCAGATCATGTGAGTTATTGATTCTCTTCTTGGGGAATGAGGTTTTTGCTTTATGTCTTGAACTGGATCAACTCTTGTATTAACATTATGACATTGCAGTTAGCAGCTTTTGTAGCAGCATTAAGAGTATTTTTAGCTTATGGCCTAAATACTTCAAGCTCGTTATCCTGTCATGGAGATAAGGATCCAGGCCCTTCAAGCCATAGGTTTTCTTCAAAGGAAACCATCAAAAAGGATGTTGGTGCATACAGGCCTCCACATTTGCGCAGGAGGACAGGTTCTTCTCTGCAGCAGCCACTAACTAAGCCATCTCAAATATCATCAGATCATGACTCTTCGCCACTTGAATGTTCATCATCCGATTCTGACTATAGTGATAGTGACATTGGACCAAAAGATTTTGATACTGTGCGCAGCTGTAAGGCCAGAGTTGCTGCTATCAATTGTATACAGGTGAAAATTGGAGAATTTTGTTTCTACCTTAAACTATTCCTTTAGTATTTTAATTCTTACATCTTAAGTTTATTATGTCCTTGAACCTCTAACTAAGAAGTGCATTTGGGCTCTTACCCGAGTGTATGTCACTTTCTGCAAAAATTTGCACATTCCAGTGGGTCTCTCTGAAGAGCAATTTCTTTTTTGGTTAAGAGAGTGGTTGTAATTTGGAGATGAGAATGGTTGTAAATTTGTTGTTTATGGAAAAATTTGCCTATAGTTTGCAATCTGGAGATGAGAATGGTTGGTAATTTGGTGTTTATGGACATGTTATTGGTAGAGAAATGGTAATAGTGATTCCCTATTTGTTCTTATGTCAGCAATTATGTGGTTCGAGGAATTGGTTGCTAGCAGTTTAATAGTCATGCAGAATTATTCTAGTCCTCTGAAACTTGTTCAAGGATACATCTATTCTTCTTCTTTGGGAGCTATCTTTGGTGATTTGACTAGTGGGGGTGTGGCAGACCGCAGACTATACTTTTAAAGATATTCCATATAAGAGGGTATGGTATATGGGCTATTTTTTTTTTTTAACTGTAGCCATTTACTGAAATCTCCACACCTATCTCTCTAATTATGCCAATTACATATGGAATTGTCAGGTCTCAATGACAGTAAACCTTTCTGTGATGGCTTTTTTGAAGAGGCTCAACACAAATGACAGTTTTCACTATGCAGACTTAGCATTTAGCAATTATAAGTATGCGTCTTAGATTTGCCTGTCTTGTGCTGTCAGAGTATAAAGTAGGGTATCATTTGTTTGTGCATTGTGAGGTAGCTACTTGTCATTTCAACAGGCAGTTTGGTGTTGTGACATTGGGTCTGCTCACTCACCTTCTATGTTGTCACCTGTTTGATTTTCCTGAGCCAGAGGGGCAAGGCATTCTTAATAGCAAGGGCTATTGTGTAGTTGAAACCTTAAATATGAGTCGGACAGCTTTATGGGATAGAGAAGTACATCTCATGTTCCTTTGGGGCTTTACAATGATTTTCCATTTTGGGTTGCATTTTCTTAGTGATGTAAACCGTGATTGGCATATTTTTTTTTTCACTCCGATGATACTCTTTTCATCACTCCTTTCCTTTTTGTACCAATCTTAACATTGCAAGTTGCACTTCTTCAAATTATCCGCTGGAACTTCGTGTGACCATGTGAAGCCTTTCAAGTAAAAGTCATGATTTTTTGTACTGTATGGCGTAGTGAATTTTTTAGTTATTGCAGTTTCCTAGATAATACTCAAACGCCTTGCCTAGTATTTTAGTACAAGCTGAAGGCGAGTTGTATCTTTTGTGAAAGGGACTTCTTTGTTTGATAAATGATTAAATAACACAGCTTACATTGAGCAGAAAAAGTTAGAACCTGATAAACTAAGTTTTTGTGCCATGCATATTATCGTTTAGCTTATTACTGAACCTAAGATTGATTAGTTCTCACCTTCAATGTTTTTTTTTTTCTCCATAATTATGGGTTTGTAGGATCTTTGTGAAGCTGATCCAAAGGCTTTCATTGCCCAATGGACAATGCTTTTGCCAACTAATGATGTACTTCAACCAAGGTGAACAATATGTTCCTCTTGTTGTCCATCTTTATTTGTATTTTTTTTATTTGTCAATTTTATTATCACTATTGTGGTTGTACTTTTTTCTTTGATCATTATATGCGTATCTTGGTGCTGTGCGCCTGTGCTCTTCTGCATAACATATTTTGCTATTTTGCATGTGGTTCCTCTTTGCTATATCTTTTTCCTTTGCAGTCATAATTGAAATAGTTTTGATCTCTTTGTGTTTTTTGATCAATTTCTTAAGGTACTGCTTGCTTATTTGCAGGAAGTATGAGGCGACTTTGATGACTTGCTTGTTATTTGATCCATTCCTGAAGGTACTGATGCCTCAATTTGATAAAACCTACATTTTTGCATTACTTTCTGCTAATGTGGCTTCAAGAGCCATTTTATTAGTGTTATATTATTCTCTGACACTGTCTAGTCAGCTCATTTGTTTTCTGGAACCTTGTATCATTCTTCCTACACATGTTTATTAATCATGCATTAACATTTGCTTTCTAGACACGGCTGGCATCTGCCTCAGCGATTGCTGCCATGCTGGAGGAGCCTTCCTCTGTAGCTCTGCAGGTTGCAGAATACAGGGATTCAACTAAATGTGGTTCTTACATGGCACTCTCAAGCTCTCTGGGTCAGATACTCATGCAACTTCACGCTGGTATACACAAGATCTGAACTCTTTATGTTGAGGATTTTTTTTCTGTCTGATATTGTATGCTAACAAATATTGCTTTTCTCTTAAATCATTTTTCTTCCCTTTTAATTTCCGATGGATATATCTGTTGATGGTGCAGGTGTGCTATACTTGATTCAACACGAGAGGCATACTGGACTATTGACCTCCTTGTTCAAGATTCTCATGCTGTTGATATCATCCACACCGTAAATATTTTTGCTCTTTGCTATTCTGTGCTACACCAGTCTAGGGCACGTTACTGTCTGATTTCTTTCTGCTGTATATTTCTTGCTAAATTTTAAAACCTTGAGCTTCATGTAATATGAGGCAAGGATTATGCATGCTTGGTGCCTGAAATACATGTCTCCTTTTCCCTCTCGGCTTTTCTTATTATTCTGTTCTGGGGATAGGACCATAGGGGGGTTTCAAGTGTTATAGAGATTGTGGAGAGTTGGGGACCAAGAACTGGAAATGAGTGTTGGTTGCTAATTGTGAAAATTTTACTTGAATTGCATTTGTTCCTATAGTAAATGAGGTTGAGCTTCCTTAGACTATATCACGTAGAAGAAAAGATCATGATTTTCCAATTCCAAGACAATTTTGTGCTTCCTTAGGCTATATCACGTAGAAGAAAAGACCGTGATTTCCCAATTCCGAGACAATTTTGTGCTAGATGTGCTTAATATTACTGTAATAAATTGTAAGGCTCCTTTACTGCAAGCGTATGCACCATGTAAGAAAAAAATTATATGCATTAAAGGTGTGCCTGGCCTACAAGAAGTGCACATCTTCACTTATTCCTCCTGCCTAGGATCCAAGGACAATATGCGCTTGGTGCACCTCACGCTTTTATAATTGGGTTTAATATGTTTAAATGACTTGAGCCTTTTTTATTGAATAAATTCTATTAATCAGATTGTTTGTCGAATAATGGATCGAATAATGGAGTTTGAGGGAAGGAGCAGGATATTGCGGAGATATTGTATTTTAGGGAAGGATAAATTTCTCATTGGAGAGTTTGGAGATGGAGGTTGTGGTGGGTGAGGTAGTCTGTGATAACTGATAAGAGTTTGACATCCACTCGTCTTCGGTCCAAGAGAAATAATTAGATGTTAGGAAGAGTTGGAGGACATTTTTCTTAGACAAGGAGTTGAATGTTGAGGGAAGCCCTGGAGACAAGTCAAACAAACTTGGAGCATTGAGTTCTGGAGGATCCGTTGAGGATAATGATCAATTAATTTCATCTAAAGGTCAAATGATTTACTATGCATCATGGAGATTATGTAAGTATCAACATTGCTTAAAATTAACAGAAGCTAACAGAGCAGCAAAGTGGGGTGTTGTGAAGTTTTGTCCCAAAAGTTTTCCCTAGGTTTACTTGGTGAAACTATTTCTTTTGGCTACGATGGTAAAACACTTGCAGTTTCATGCTTTAATGTGTAGATTCATATCCTGGGTTCATCATGTATTTCTTGCTTTGGTTAGAGTCAAAGCTTCATTCTGTATTGCTTTTGGGAGGAGGTATGGCTGGAAGTAGTCTATCTGAATTACTTTCCCATGTCTCCCTTCCTTATGTACCTCATACTGCAATAACAGATTTTGATTTTTTTACGTAATGAATGACGCGGCGAGGGGGTTGTGGTTTTTATTGCAGTGTTTTGTGACTGGGTTTGTTGAACACTTCAATTGCAACCCCATAATCCATGATTGACAGAATAGTCGTTCTGTAATGCAACAATTGAGTTTTATTTTCAGTTCTATCAGGATCCTTGAACCAAAACACACCACTATTTGCGCTTTGACAAAAATTTAAAATAGCATGTACAGTTATTGACCTTTTTATTTATCTAGACTATGTAATCCTAAGAAAAACAGCAGTGAATTTTTCAGTTTATTGACACGATCAAGATTGAAGAAGAAGAAGAAGATTGAAACGACCAAGTTCTGTTCTATTTATTATTTATACCTCGTTGATGTGAAGTTTTCTTGTTATCCTTGCCACTAGTTTATTCTTTGGGAGATCCTATTTATATAAGAGAATTGATGTGATTTGTTGAGGTAGATTATTAGTATCAAACTTTAAAAAATTGAGAGTATTCAGAATGAAGAACACTTGTTTATGCTAACTGGGAATTTGGGATTGTTCTTTATATGCTTTTTTCCCGAGGGATTTGTTCTAATAGCTTGATGTATTCCTTAGGTATTCGAGGATGCCTGGAGAGTTGTTGCCCAGAGTCCTTTCATCTCTTCGATTGAGAATTGAGGAGGGTTTTTCATTTAAAAATGATCAAACCAGTTTACTGGTTAGTTGGCTGGTTTTCTGACTGCACTATTTTTGTGAAACTAATAATTCTGAATTTATCCTAAATTTTGTTATTGAGAGGAAATTTTCCACAATTTTATCTCACAGGCTATTTCTATCAGTTGCTTGACTGGAGCTATATCTACATCTCCTTCTTCTTCACATGTTAATGAAATGTTTGAAGCTGAAATATCTGCAGGTTGGCTCACTTTCTCCTAGTCATTGCTGGTGCTTTTGTTAGTTGTGATGTTTTGGCTACTTTTTTTTTTTTTTTTTTTTTTTTTTTTTTTTTTTTTATAAATTTACTGGATTAATATGCATAATTGCATTAGCATTTATATGGAATCGTAAAGAGAAATCAGAGAAAAATAAAGACAAGTAGCCGAGCTCACTGTGGGGCGTCCACTTGCTCTTCACTCCTGAACCCCTCTTTACTGGGGATTTCAATGGCTAATATTAGTTCTCATGTTATAACTTACAGTTGAGCAATTAGCGATCCTAAATCTGTGGTCTGAAAATGTTAACTAATTTGGAAATGTCTCAACATGAAGACTTGTGCTGCCCAGAACAGTGTGATACATTAACATCTTTCCTTCTAGGTGATTGATCTTTTTTTTGACAATGATCTTAATCAATTAGAATAAGACTGTTGACTGGTTAATGCAATAGAGGGACAAGTTGTTAACTGAAACTTGTTACCTGTTGTAGTCTTATCTGTTAAATTGTGACTCAAAATCTAGTAGGGCTGACTTTGAACGCTTATATCTCTCAAACTACAACTGATTTAGAGGTGATTCAAGTTGGAGGTGATAGCTTGGTTCAAGAGCTTTCCAACGATAGGTCATATGCCAAATTCCGATAAGAAACGAGAAAGTTATGACCTTTTTACGAAAACCTGACGAAGCTGGAAATTTGCAACGAGGCTGCGAGCTATAGCTCTATGCGAGTGAGCTATAGCTCGGCCCTATGAGGACTTGCGGCAGACATGAGCTAGCTGCCGAGCTATAGCTCGGTAGTTAGTTTATTCTAGGATAATTGATGGAATATTTCCTAAAATTATATCTTTTCTATGACGGCTATTTGAGTATACTTGAGGAACAATATTAGGGTTTTATTAGGGTTTCCTTGTGTTATAAAAGGGCCCTTTAGTTGATCAATTAGATAATACCTTTTTTTTGAGCCATTAGATTTAGGATTCCTTGTATTATTCTCTTGTTTCTTTCTCCATTATAGTGAAGAAGCTCTCGAATCCCCCACCCGTGGATGTAGGTCTATTTTGACCGAACCACGTAAATCCTTGTGTTGTTTGTTTATCTTCTTTATTTCTTTTTCTCATTCTTATTTTTCATTGACTTGTTCAGCATTAATCAAACACAATTACACCTTATTTCCTAACATTATCTTAACTCACTATCATATCCCAATATTTTTCTTGCATCCCTTGAAAGTGTGTGGTAAAATGGAATTCTTGTGCATTTGTGATTCCTTTCTTTCTGTCTCTTTTACTGTCACGGTCATACAGGTTTTGGTTTGTATACCTACAGAAATATTTTTTGAGCTTGTCATTCCTCAATCAGTTTACTAATTTTAATCTTTTGTGTTATTTTTTATTGATGGGGTTTTAATTTATCTCATTTTTCTAGGAGTCCAACTTTGAATTCGTACTTATATGAGCTTGATTTCAGGTTTATATTTGGATAAAGGAGGATCAGGTGTCTTGATTACTCTGCTTCGACATGCTGAGCAAGTCGCAAATCCACCAATATGTTTGGAAGCTCTCCAGGTATTGACTGAACATCAATATCTTTTTGTAAATGAATCTTGTCCTGGTGTTAGCATTTCCCAAAAAGATTAGAACCGTTAATTACAGCTAAATGGTGTCCCCCCCCCCCCCCCTCTCTTTTCTGATTTTAATTGCCTAATTACATGGTGCAGTTATTTAGTCTAGCTTTGAAGAAACTTTTCTTGTTCTAATCCTGATCACCAGTCAGATGATTGTGCTGCCACTAAGCTGTTTAGTTGTATTCTTGTGTAGTATGATGATATGTTACAATTTCTTTCAAGTTTGTTACAGGCCCTCAAAGCTCTATGCCACAACTACCCTAACATAGTGGCTGCGTGTTGGAAACAAATTTCAGCTACCGTATATCAAATTTTGAGACCAGACACTTTTAGGTTATCGTATTCAAAAGGAGCTTTTGGACATGAGAGTCTATCATCTATGGATAAGGTTGTGTCATCTGCTGTCAAGGTATGAAGTCCCCTGCTTTGTAATTCTTGTTTTTAAAATAATTTACGTCGCCGTCTGGCAGATTATTGTGTCAAACCTTCAGGGAGTAGAAGATTTCTAAATTCTCAATGTGACTGTATTTTAAATTGACATTCTACTGTGTTTTAGAACCTGTTAAACCATTATGATGTCTTTTTTTTTTTCCCCAGGTTTTAGATGAATGTCTTCGCGCAGTATCTGGATTTAAAGGAACTGAGGATCTATTCGGTGACAGATTAGGAGAGACTCCTTTTGTGTCAGACTTTGTGCGTGACAAAAAAATCTCTTCTGCCCCATCATATGATTTGGAGAATGTCGTGCCTTCCAGAGACAATCTGTCAGGAAACTCAGTGTGGTCTGAGGCCATTGAGAAACATATATCCATATCTATATGTCATGTATCTGGAATGGTGCGTTTAGTTAATTATTTGGCTTGTGAGTGTTTATCTGAAAAAGACAGAAATTGGCTGGCTTTATAAATTGGTGTGTCATGACTTTTGATGATTGTTTTGATACAACATAACACGAAATCTTAAATATTATTTTTTTATAAAGTAGTGTTCATAAAGAGGACGTTTTTATGACTTGCCTGGAGTGTAAGTCCATTTGCTTTGTTATACTGTTCCTTCCCTGTCATGTTCCTATAGATGTTAGTCTACATTGGAGGAGTACTTTATACTTGTTTTAGCCCAACATTTTAGGCGTGCTTCATATTTATTGTAGTACTTTACTGTGAATTCTAAGAGCCTTTGTCCTAATTAATTTAATGATTCATGTGCTCCCTTCAGTTGGCACATTCGTTTTTCTCAAAATATTTGTTATGTTTTCTATAAAATTTGTGTGAATAAATAGTGCAAGCACCTTGGAAGGTGATAGTTGTATTACGATTTTGAAAAATAGGAATTCCTTCAAGTGTAATTTTTTTGAAGGATCATCTGTTATGTCTGTGAAGCAGTGAAAGTAACATCAATATGTCCATTACAAGCTTTCTTAATAGTTATGGAGAAGTTTTACTAGTATAGGAAGTGAGTTTGGGTCTATGTCGTATCTGTTATATCTGGGAAGCGTTAAGAGTCTTAATACTAGCTTGCTTCTGTATATCCATTGCAAATTTGGTTAGTTACTGTGTAAATTTGGCTTTGGCCTGACAATAGTGAGTACATGTAAGGGAAGCATGTCAACTTTGTAGTAAATGAGGAGAATTATTATATTGCAATGCTAAAATAGCTGATCAGAGAATAAAAAAAGGATTTCTTAGCTGATTCCGAGTTACATCTTATGTATAAGATGTGTTGTTTACATCACCTCCGTGCATGCTGTTAGGACCAGAAGGGATTGCATTTTTTATTAACATGGTGAACGTGTCTTGTACTGTAGTGTTAGGGGGTGGGGGTGTGGGTAGGGTGAAGGCAGGATTATCTTGAATAATTGTATGTAACACTTTTATTTTATTTTATTGTAGACTAGATTCGATCTCAACTCAGGTTTGGGTAGTGTCCCCCCCCCCCCCCCCCCCTAGATTTTAACAACTAAAGTAGTTGTCGTCCACATAAGGCTTTTATTGGAGGGAAATGGGACCAGTACTACTTTGAGTGACATTGAGACCATCTGTAGCTTGATCTTCCTTGAAGCATTAAGTTTTGAATTATCACCAGGCTTTGACGTTGCTATATGCTTGTATAGGTAAAGAAAACCTTGGAATTTTGGAAAATTTTAGTTCAAAGTAGCTGGCTGTGACCCCATGTAAGTACTCTTAGAAAAAGGAGTGAATTGACCAACCTGCGTGGAAAGCTAATTGCAGAATGGACATTTTTTGAGAAGCTATGAATTTGGAGACTTGAAGACGAGATTTAGAACTGAATGCTGGTTAGATTGGTTGTGAGTATCACAGGTATGAGGTAGCGAAATTATTTGACCGACATATTCTGTACAATATTCATTGTGATCTATATGGTAAGAGGGGAAAGAGGCTCTGTAATTCTAAAAGACCTTATGGATGGAACTGTTTTTAATCTTGCACTGGCTTTCCCTCCTTTCCTATCTGCTTATATCTTATATGTAAGGTGAAAAAGGAATTCTTTTGTGTGATCCATTAGTGACACAGCTCTGGATTCTGGAGCCTATTATTCATATTGTCATACCAAATTTTCTGTTTTATTGCTTCATCTGTGAGAGCATTGGATATGTCCTTTGGTTTGACTCTGTCAGGGTTGGGATTATGGGTAGTTCGAAGGGGCTATTCATCATTTTGGTTTTTGTCTACTGATATTTGGGTAGAGTGTGAGTCTAGGATCCTCAATGAACAACTAGTTTCTTCTCTGCTTCTGAGTGTACTGCTTTTTCATCTTTCACTTGTGAATTTGCATTAATTTTCTTGGAATTTTCAAATTTCCAGGTTGACAGCTTTGCTTTGTATCTTTTCTCTGTTTCTTCCGATTCTTGCTTAATTGACAGATTTTTAAATAGTGTAGAGGCTACTTGAAGCCAACAACTGTTTATGGAAAAATTTATTCCTGGTCTCTGCCTAGGATAATAATTGAGTTCATGTCTGAAGATAAAGTGATTGTATTCCTGGTCTCTGCCTAGGATGAACTATTAATAATTGAGTTCATGTCTGAAGATAAAGTGATTGGTCATTTTGCCTTTAATTTGCTGGGAAGCATTAGCCGAGGCTCACTGAACTGAACTTTCTAGAGTGAATTAGTTGTCTCTATTTGCTCCGTAGTCCTAGAATTCTGTATGCATCACTGACACCAGTTTCTTGGGTTTCCTACTTTCCCGAAGTTCTTGTGGCCATTATTTGGTGCCATTCTCCCCATGCAAAAGTAGCTGATCCATTGCCTAGTCTAGTTCTAAAGTTTTCTCCTTAAAGCACATACGTGAACGAGTGCCACACTGAAGCTCGATTTCTTGGTCTACTAGTTGTTAACCTGACTCCACTCATATCACTGTCATCTGGCTGTTTGGAGATCATCCCTTTAATTTTATAGCTCCAGTTATATGAGTCTGTAGCTCGACATATTTCCATTTCTATCATACTTACATTTACATGGTTGAATCAGGAAATATTCTCTTACCTTGTGAACAATCCGTTATAGCTCTGAAGTTAGTATTTTTTTAAATTAGTTATTTATGGAACAAAGCTGTCAAGGAAGAGAAACCAAATGGTTATATATATGAATCTTTTTCATAGAAGTTGAATCTTGAATAATATATAACCAATAGCTGTCAAGCCCGATTTTTTGATGTTGTGTTTATAATTGAGATTTTTCCCCTTAGAAGGGGCAGGACATTGTTTGAAGTGGTGGGTCTTCTCTGGGTTCATTAGTCATTTTCATTTTTCATGTTTGCTACCTTTCGTGCCTGCACTCCCCCCCCCCCCCCCCCCCCCCCCATATTTCTTTCAGTCTTTTATTTAACAACAGCAACAAATTATGCCAGGCTAAACAGTTCAAATTTGTAATAAAACTTATTGCAAAGTTTTTGTTGTCTGGTAGGTGAGAGCTGCATCAATTACTTGTTTTGCTGGTATCACTTGTGCTGTCTTATTTTCTCTTAGGAAGCAGCAGCAGCAGTTCATCCTTTCTTCCTGTGTGAGTATATATCTGTTCTTCATCTGGTTTTATTACTCTACTGGCTGTATAGTGTCATAAATATGTTGCTTCAAAATTTTCAGATAAAAGCTGCAAATGATTCAGTCCCTTCATTAAGGGCAGCTGCGTGTCGAGCGATTGGTGTCATTGCGTGTTTTCCAGAGATTTTTAAGAGGTAATATGAAGTACTCCAAAATATTTTTTGTGGTGACTTGTTTTTAAATCATGATTAAAAAATATGCTAAATGGATGGTTAACCATATAGTGCAGAAATCCTTCATGAGTTTATCAATGCTGTGGAGGTCAATACACATGATCAGCCTGTCTTGGTATCTTCTATTGGCTTTATCTTGAACTCAAACTATCTGTATTCATGGAACTCTCTCCCCCTTACTATTAATTTATATGTTATAGATTTTTTTCATTTTGCTATATTTTTGTATGAATATTCCTGCTGCAGGTGCGTGTTACTGCATCTTGGGCTTTGGCAAACATATGCGACTCATTTCGACACAGTGTTTCTGAAATTTCCTTAGGTAGGTGGGTCAAATTATTATTTTTATTGTATATTTTTGTTTTTATATGTTCAAGATCAAAGCTTTGCACAGTTTCATGTGGATGGTTTTAAGCTAATTGTGTACAGCTTTTCATTTACATTTTCCTAGAATCATATGATATGGGGATTATGTCACATTATGGTTTGTCTTTTTCTTACAGACTCTGAAGCAAATTTCCGACTGGTGACATTGTTAGAATGTTCTTTGAAGCTAACAACAGATGGAGATAAGGTAGTTTACCTATCATTAGAGGATTCTGGGTTTTGCATGTATTTTGTTGTGAATAGTCTCCATGTGTTAAAAGTTAAGTTATATCGTCATGTTTATTTCTGTCAATTCTCTTCGTCATTTTAAAAAAATCAGGATATATAAAGAGAGGAGGATATTATCAATCTTCTTGATGCTTAAAGTTGAAAAGTAGCCGACAGCTGAGTGACCCTGAGTCTCTTTTTACTACAAGAGCATTAGTCAATTCCCCAAATTGCTCCTGTCTTATACCTGTAGAAAGAGGAAAGGGGCAAAGCGCTTCCTATTGTGTGCAAGGGCGACACTATGCATCTCTTACCCTCCACAAACCTACTTTGACAAGAATCCCCATATGGTTTGATGTAAGTGGGTTTTTTGATGTTGCTGAGTGAACTAGCTGTAAGGAGATATTTGCTCTTGTTCTCCTGGTCTTGGCTTTAAGCAAGAACTTCATCAGCTAGCCTGTCTAGCCATCTGTATACCATATTTCAAGAAGATGGCTTTGTAACTTGTTTGGAATTTTACGTATATTCTTAGTGTTTTCAATCATGCGCTTTATTTCCCCTTCTTTTTAATATTTTTAAAAATTTATCAGTGTTTTCAATCATGCACTTCATCTCCCCTTCTTTTTTATTTTTTGAACAATTATTTATTGAAATTGCTTATCTTCCTTCCTTGTGGCTCTGGATGCAACTTAGGCCATGCTTGGATTGGGGGTAATGAACTAAGGGAGTTATAATAGTCAACCTAAGAAAAACATAAGTGATTAGAGGTGATGCTATAGGAGATAAGAGCTGTGACATAAGGAAAAGAGAGAGATGGAGGACACTATCATTATCTCATCCTTTCTTATATTCACTTTCATTTTCTTTAGTTAGACTTCTATTACCCTTGTACTACATTGCCCTCAGTTCAACATAAGATGTATAGATTCTTCAAATGAATGATTCCCACACCTATTTAGATGGCAAATTTTAAATTAAGTGTCATCTCAGTATTTTCATTCTCAGCCTTTTACATATTGTTGCTAGGATACCTAATTACACTAATTCACTGTGCTCTTCCTCTTAATTTACCTGCTACTCGCTAAATGACCCTATTTTGTGCCTCAGATTAAGTCAAATGCTGTTAGAGCTCTAGGTAATCTTTCAAGAGTGATCCCGTTTGCAAATCCCCTTGAACAAGGAAAATGTCCAGTTACATGTCCTGGAATCAGCAAGATGGAGAATTTTTCCTGGAAGTGCACTGTAACTAATAAGGACACTGCCTTATCTTCAGATCCCTTGGGATGTGTTCATTTATTAGAGAAAATCGTGCAAGCTTTCCTCTCATGTATTACCACCGGAAATGTGAAGGTAAGTTGTTTTTTGAATGTATTTTTTGTTTTTGCTGGTTATTTTAGTATAACCTTTCTAAATACATTTTTCTAATAGAAGGCCTTTATTGCAGGTCCAATGGAATGTTTGCCATGCATTAAGTAACTTGTTTCTGAATGAATCACTGAGAATGCAGCGATCGGATTGGTAATGGGCTCTTTTTATTTTCTTCTTTTTTTCCTTTTTTTTTGGGGGGGGGAGGGGGGTATTTCCTCTCCTATTCGACCCTTTTGTTCCCTTGAGAACTCTACTAATAAAAATGAAAGAGAAATCTACTGTATAGAGGACCTAGACATCCAGGACTGCTCCAAGCAAAAGAGCGAATGGGTTGCTGCTTTCTGAAACATATTGGAGTTTTGGACCACTCGCTAGATAAGCATGTATTTAACTTTAAAATCTAGTTAACATATTGGAGACCAAAAGGCGAAAAAAAAACATGCTAATTAAAAGGATATGCAGAAGGCTATCAGTAATTTTTCTCCTAAATTCAACCATAGTATCTCTATATATTTACTGGCCGTATGAGCAAAACATTGCAGGGTTTTCCATCTCTTTAATTTTTTAACAATCAACATTAGGAACTTGAACACACACTCTGAAAAAATCCATGGATCTAGCACATAACATAGTCATCAGGTGTACAGTCTAGAACATTGTATTGTCACCAAATATACCACTTAGTTAGATAAGCTCATTAAAGTCCAACCCTTTACAAAAGTGTATATCCTTTTTGAAACCTTTGGCTTCCAGATGCCGTTTGAACCCAGTAACTAGTGCTTGTGCTGCCCCTAAGGCCCTTTACAAAATAATGTTAGCCAAAGCAATCTTCATTGGGAATTGCCATGGTTGAGCCATTTAGATCTTGTTAGGAAAGCCTTGCAGCCTGATTAGCCTTGTTTGATCAAGACATCTGCTTAATTAAGTGGTAGTTCATATGAAATGGTATTTGCTGGGCTTGGCTGTTCGATTATCTACAGAATTTCATCGTATTTATTTTCTGCAGATATTTGAACTTTTCTCCTGAGGTTTTTCTTTAAGGTATAATATTTTTTTTACTTTTCTATTAAGAAGCCTAGCTGCCGAAGTTACGTGTGAAGAATGGCAAAGAACAATGGCTTTACTCATTGCTTCTCTTCAACCCTTAACCTTTCCTTTGACAGCTCTTGTGGATAATTTCAGCCTTTCTCTGGATATCAAGATTCAGTTGGCTTGTCCTTTAATGTAGCTTGGTTTTGTCACTTTTATTTCTGTCTCTTCTATAAAAATCTATAAATTGTCGAATCTTATGTTCTGTCAGGGCTTCGTCAATTTATAGTATTCTTCTACTGCTGCTTCGTGACTCTTCCAACTACAAAATCCGGATACAAGCTGCCGCTGCTTTGGCTGTTCCATCAACATTGCTTGGTGAGTATCAAGTTTAATCAAACTTCAGCTCCCTTCACCCATAATATCTGCTATATATTTCACTATGATGTTGTTTGATTAATATATGTATCATACCATCAATGATATAGTTATCCTATTTAACCACTCATAAATGTGGCATCAATTACTTCATTATACAAGTGTCATTTTAAAATAAGACCACACATTAAAGAATTGTTAATTATTCCATTGGTAATTAAATTTATATAGTGACAGGATACACTGCATTGGTGTTGTAAAATGGCTAATAGTGTATTGGCATTTCAAGTTTCTGATAATATTAAAAAAAAAAAAAAAAAGAAAGAAAGAAAGAAAGAAAGAGTTAAGTAGGCTTAAAAGGAATATAGAAATTTTTACATATAAAAAAAATTGCATGTCTAATAGTGAATATCTTAAAGGAAAAACTAAGAGATGGCTGATATTTATATCTCCAATACACTTAAATGACAAGTTAACATCTTCAAGCAAAAGGTACATGAGAATAATATTATACATCTTATAGCTTTTTTCCCAATACCAGAACTTTGAATATTATTCTTTTGATTGTGTTATTGGTTTTTAATAATTAGTTTAGTCATTTGATTGTTTATTATTATTGGTTTCTTCTCTCTTCAGATTATGGCAGTTCGTTCTCAGATGTTGTTCAAAGTATCCTACACATTCTTGAAAATTTGACAACAGACCAACATTCAACTCCTAGTTTCAAGTATAGAATTGCTCTGGAGAAGCAGGTCAGGAATTTTGAATGTATTTGTAAATTGTGATGCAAAGTATTTGCTTTATTTGAATCATGCTAATTTCAAATTTGGTGTCATATATTGCCAAACTACCTGTTGTTGTTTGCAATGCTTTTATAATATTTTGTTGGAACTTTATTCTTTCTAGAACTACATTTTATAGCTATAGACTCTGCAGTGTCCATTCTACCTGTATCTGCCCCCTTGAAGTTATGAATTTATTATGTTTGAACACTTGAGGGGATATATGTCATTTTACTGTAAGTTAATAGATGGAACAGAGAAAATCTTCAAGTAATTATCACTGGACCATACATTATTAAAGGGTTTTTTTTTTTTTTAATTATTAAATGATGATTTCTAAAATTTATGGAAATGCATTAAATGAATAGATTAATGAAGATTATGAAGTGCTCCACAGTCCACCCCAATGCTTACACCCTCAAGGCCTCAACTACAAGATTCTTTTATGTATTAGAATATGCTAATTTTTATTAAATTTGTGATATTTAGTGCTGTATATGAGTGATGTGTTGATATGTTTTATTCTTAATTCATTTTGTAATTCTTTTTTTACCGGATGATGCAGCTGACCGCAAGCATGCTTCACGTACTTGGTCTTTGCTCAAGCAACAGTCATGAACCACTGAAAGAGTTTCTTCTCAAAGTAAGTATTTATTTGATATTATACTCCACATATGACGAAGATTATTGCTTTTATATGTTTTTGTTGTACTTATTATGCATCCATGCTATTATGATGTTTTCGTATATAGTTATCAAATTACTGCTTGTTTTCATATCTAATCACAACTACTCCACAAATGTTTTGTTGGTGACAAGCACGCAAATTCCATGGTCTCTGATGTATAGTTATGCAAAATAGCCAAATTTCTCCTATAAATCACATGTTTAATAAATTACTAATAGGATCTGGTGGCTTGGTAACCTTGTAAAAATCCTCTAATGATGTAGCTAGCTTCTGTTTGTAATGTTTTCCTGTCGTTAATGACTTTGCACATTATCTTCTACTGTAGTAGTACTGAAGTTGATTATTTTAAAAAAAAAATTAAAAAAAATTGCAAGTTTAGCTCATTGTCTTTATTTGTGTCTTTCAGAAAGCATTGTTCCTTGAATGTTGGTTGAAAGATTTGTGCTCATCGCTTGAGTCAAGGATTCAGCAAGATGATGAAGTGGACTTCTGTAGGAACCAAAAAAGAGAGTTAGTGTTGCAGGCAATAAAATCACTGATTGAAGTGTATGAGAGTAAAAACCAGTCTTCTTTGGCACAAAAACTTCAAAAGTTGATAGCAGCTTGTGGATGAAAACATAAATGGCTGGACTGATCTCCTATATGCACTGGGACCTGAAATATATTTCTCTTGCATGCCATTATATCTTCTGTCGATCCAATATGGAATTTGGTGGAGTCAACATAAAATTTGGACATTTGCTGGCTGCTGAGTCTATGAGCTTCAGATGTGACCGTTGTCCAAGAGTGACAACAATAAGGAGAAGACTCGTGTGGGAGGAATGTGCAGGACCTGGATGAAATGGGACGCATGCAGTTGCTCATATTTTAGACCGTTTCCCTGGTAATGAGAGTATTTATCATCCGTCTCTAGGAAGAATGGCATCCTTGCACTTCCAATCTTGGTTCTTCTTAAGGCAGTGATTTCAGGGCGCTTTCTCTGGGCAGGAACGCCCTTTTGTACATTATATTTATCTTGTATTTCCTCCATAATGAGGCAAGGTATGGATGATAGCTATGGTGAGAGATGTATAGAGGGTAGGCTGCCCAATATAATAAGTCTTTAACCTTTAATTTAGTGTATATGTTGCTGCACTACATACCAAAATAAGTACTACGTAGTATTAATGTCGATTTTGTAGTAGTATTGGTTGATAAACACCAACACTCTTCAATTTTTTGTGGGTTTTGATTGAAAGTAAATTGATTGATAAAGACAAGCCTTGTTCCAAATTATTTGCTTATTTTGGATGCAATGATTCATCACTTAATTCCGGTGAAAATTTATCTACTCTAGTCCTAATAAAACCTAATTAGATAATTTTATACCTCCACCATTAGTGAGCAGATTACTCGAACTTAGTGATTGAATATACTACCTCCGTTTCATATTATTTGTAACGATTTGACATAAAGTAGAGAAGAAGAATGTCTAGTGATTGCAAACAGAGGTAGTAAGAAAAGTCTAGTATTCAATAGCCATCGTAAGTGCCCCAAGTGAGACTTAATACATCAAATTATTAACAACCCAAAATCTAACTTAGATACTACTACCTAGGTCTAAAATAGAGTTTACTCATCTTAGGTTAACTTAGTCATAAAAATAAAATATAAAAAATACTCTGAAAGTGATGTGCAATAATACAAAAATACAATGTTCTTTGTACTAGAAGCCGGCCACGCCGCTTATTGAGTTTATTTTTCAGCTCAATTATGTTACAACAAAATCAAGACAATAGAATTAACCAATACGATACAAATTATAGCAATGATTGTTTACAGTTATTATGATTGATATCTAAGTATGACACTTGTGTAAGCCACTTGGATTATAAAGCTAATTTTCACGTGCTTGTGTCAATATTATGCCATGTATTGGTAATCATAATGGATGATCTACTTATGAGATTTGCATTAATATAATAAGAATTTATTATATTATAGAACTTGGCCAATTTCAACTTTGTACTAGAAGGTTTGAAGTTTTGAACTCATCACAAGATTGAAGTTACACTAGATTCACCAAGGCAAACGTCCTTTGTTTCTATTTGATGTTCTTATAACAATTCACAATTTTGATGGATTTTTTTTAATATTGTATTTCATAAGAAAAACATATTAATATGAAATTTTAGTTGATTTTTTTTCATTGAGTGGTTTCAAGAATATTTTTAAAAAAATAATTAAAAAAAAATTATGTGATATTAATGGTCAAATATGTGTATTGACAAACATGTAAAGTCAAAACAAAAATTAATCAAGAATAGCGTATCGTGTGGCCACTTGTAAAAAAAACAAAGTAATCCCTAAAACACAAATTCAGTAATCCTTGTAACACTAATCGAGTAGCCCTTATAACACTAGCGAAGTAACCTTTGAACACTGACCAGGTAATTTCTATTACACCAATGAAGTAACTCTCATGATAGCTAGTCACACAGTGTGGTCAAACACATATAAAAATTTGTAAACGAGAATTTCTAAAATATTAAAAGTAAGATCTTACTCAAATTTAACTTAAAATGAGTGGTGTTGTAATTCATATAGTATAGAATACAATTTACTAAGAGATGTATGTTTACAAAAGGCCAACGTTGATAAACATGGTCTTATTAAGGTGATAATTTATATGCCATTGCTTACAAAAATTAGAAACTAAAGTAGGTTGATATTCCCAAACAATTGGAAAAATAAATGTATGTGGCTCAACAATTTATAATAATGTGTATTTATATTAAAGAATAGGTTTATCACCTGTTTTTATATTCAATGAAACCTCCAATACAAATCAAACCAAAAAGTTTTTGGCAGTGCTCTAACCAATAACGATGTGCAAGCAATCATAAAAGATGCTTTTATTGTAATTTAGACTAAAAAAAATGACATGATACTTCCATTCCACAATAAAAGTCAAATTAGGAGAAGATAAGGTTAAAAGAGGTAGCAAGGTGAAATGGTGATGACCCCTAACATTTTATATTTGCCCCTTAAACAAACAAGCTAGGAGTGTGGCTCAATGTTTTATGTTATTGTCCTACTAATCTAATCATAGCCCTAATCATAATAATATTGCCGTTCAATGTACCAACATACCTAATCATTCATCGAATTTCGTAAAATTCTATCGGCTAAATTAGTAGCTACTCACTCTTTCAAAAAGTCTATATCCCACCCACTCTTTAACAAGTACAAGTATTATTGATTATTCAATGTGTTTGGACATTTGTGATTATTCACTATTTTTGTACGAAATAGATCTTTTTATATGAATCATCGAGAAGTACTTTATACTAGTACATCCTAGCTCCTACTCCATAAGAAAAGGATTTAATTAGGAAATGAGAAGAGAAACAAAGTATTATCGTCGTCCTATTTGATAAATAAAAATAATTCTAATTACTACCTCTGTTATAGGTTATGTGCAACAATATGACATAAAGCAGAGAGAGAAAATGTCTAATCGTTGCACATAACCTGTAACGGAAGTAGTATAAATTTGTAAGAAAGTATGTACTTCCTTTATTTTCTTTTAAATGTAACAGACTTTCTTGGTACACACTTTAAAGAAAAGATTGAGTATAAAAATGAACAATTTAATCAAAAAATTTATACACGTATTACCTAACCCTTTTATAATCTTAGTGTTGATTTTTTTTTTTCCTTTTTATTTTTTTATTTATTTTTTTTAATTAGTAGCTCGTTTTTACTCTAATCGACTCCTAAAAAGGAGTGTTGCATTTTTAATAAAACAGAAAACTATTTATTTCCATGATAATGACAGTAACATAAGGGTGATATGATTGGTGGTAATTGATAATCATGAAAACATTAGTTTGAGTAGTTCCACAATGCCATGATAAACTTAACAATAGCAAACCATAAGATAGTGCACTATGTTACCAACACAACCCTCTCATTACATTAACCCTAAAAAAATACAAAGAAGATTTGAAGAATTTGATTGAAGTTAACAAACACATAATTAGTTGTTGATTTAAACATCTAATCCAAGCAAGTACTAGAAGCATCAACCCATAACCTAGGAAGCAATAAGCCACATAACCCTACCAACATTCTTATCATAGAAAATTACAATCTAAATCATTACACCTAATTAACCAAAATAGTGAAAAGAGAAGAAAAAAAAAAAATTAGAAAAGGTACAACCGAAATGACAACATTAGACCACAAACGACGCACTAACAATACCTTGTTAGCCTATAAATAGTTGTTAGCTCCAATTGTTTTAAAATTATACCACAAATGGTAACACTTGGCTACACCCTTACCAATTATAGACTTTTTGTCGAGGTTAAATGGAGACTCACTAACTAGACCATAAAGTGGAGATTTAATCATATAATTCATATTTTAGTAATCTTAGGTAGGTTGTTTGTGTTTTATGGTTAAATTATACTAATAATTAACTAATTTTTTAAAATTATTGAAGAAAAGCTCAATTCCTTTACAAGATGTACTATAAATAGACTCTTCAAACTAACTCAAAGACCTTAAAGTACAATAACTAGACATGTCTAAATGACATATGCCTTACCAAAACACCCTTATTCGAGTCGACTTGGATCTGATATGACGACTCAAAAATTAGTTTCAAAATTTAAATCGATTCATTCTAAACCTAAACCTTAAAATGACCTGACTCGAATCCAATTCAAATGACAAGATCATTGCACTAATTAAAGCATGACAAGGAGTTTGTTTGCAAGTAATTTGAAATGGCAAAAATAGTAAACAAGTAACACAACCACCACCTAAATCTATCAAAACAACCATTGAAAAAAATCCTTAAATTATAGTTTCAATATTTAAGCAAGGAGATGATTGGACCCTTTTGGGCCCATCAAATAGTCCATAAATCCAAATTAGATCCCTCAAAGCCTGGACTATGTTCAGAGTACAGCCCATGCACCAAATTGAAAAGGGACCCATTTCCTTTTATAGTATAATAATACTAATAATTTTCTGTTATAAAGGCCCACTTTTGTCCCCCAACACCCCATCTCAACTCAAAGGCATGCAGTACTCGAGCTATTTCTCCAAAAAAAAAATCAATGATACATCATGTATATTACAAGCTTTATTATTAATCTTTTCAAAGAGGCCATTATTCAATTTAAAAGATATTTACATGTTTTTTCTCCCACTATCTACCAAATTAAATTTAATAGTAATCAGTTTTTACAATAATAGTGACACTTGTAAATAATTGCCATAAATATCGACATTATTTTCTTTGTAGCACAATGATTAGATTGGTTTATTCATATATATGGACATTATTTTGGTATATTGTATTTTTATCTCCGCCATGCATGAGGTTTTTTTTTTTTTTTTTTTATCAGTATATTATTGCTATAAAATTTGTATAAAAAGCTTCGGTCTACCTTTTCCCTTAAAAATAAAAGTAGAATAGTGTTATTATTTATTGTTTTTAATTATTTATAATAAATGAATATTTTATGTTTTCTTTGTACAGAGTAGCAAATAATAATTTAAGAAACATATAATTTGTATGGTGTTATGAATTGTGGAGGGAGGGAGACGATATAGCTAGTGATGCCTATAGTAATTTAACTTTGGAGCCTAGATATAACATTATATACGATGTGGTTATTGATTTGAACTGGTCGTGGATGTAATTTTATTAGAATTTTGTTTTATTCTTTATTGAGTATAACACCCCTTTTTTTTGGTACTCTATGTTAACACACTAATCAATTTATCATGCATAATGGATTAATGGTGATGCCTTAAACTCTTAAACTAAGAAAACCTTATGATCGATATACAATAATATGGAACTTTGCGTGAATCATTAATTAGTTTTAGATTTGTAGACAAAATGAATTTTCTTTTAAAATTTTCGATCTTATACACGTGTAGATACAAAAAGTAAATTTGTACGTATCAAAGATTGACAATTAAATTAGCCCCATGAATAATGTAACACACATCCATTTCAAGTTCTCAACACATTTATACTATGAAGTATTTTAGTATATGAACTCCTTACAAATCAGGTGCATTTTATTGATATAAATAGTGTATTAAGATTATTTTTTAGGTAAAAAAAATGTATCACAATCCACAACGTTAAGTCAGCCTCATTAAAAATAGTAGAGAAATGTTGTTGTTATGTGAAGTTTGATGATTTATAATGGTGTAAGCCTCACTATTTAGATTTTGAATTTTTTGATTA